ATCATGAGCAGGCCTCTCCCCACATTTGTCAACATGTAATGTGATTCCTGTCGCATGAATCAGTACAAGGGGGTCAGCTTCCAGGATAAAGCGACAATCTTACCCGAAACTTGTTGCTGTGGATTACAGGGGCCTGGCGAGGGTACGATTGGCGCCAGCTTCGTTCCTAAATACTGAACCTCATCGTCCATAGTATCCGGAGAGTCGAGCGATATCAGCATTTATCGACTGGTCTTGAGAGTCTCGAGGGTACGTCGAGTCTGCTGGTGGAGGTAGTGGATGAGAGCAGGGAGTCACTTGCGTGACCACTCATGGCCGTGCTTTATCACATTACGCCCTATGCACGCCGGCCGGAATCACCTTCTTTGGGCTATCCGCGGCACCGCAAAACTGATCATTGGCAATTTCGTATCAGAGGCAGATTTTTGGGAGATGCTTCAGCACGGCGAGTACATACATACTAAACTACGGCTGTATTGTAACCACCTTTAAACGCAGTGGGCGAAATCATGGGAAGGACAACTGTGTAGCCAAAAGAACAAAGTGTGGGGACAGGCTAAGAGTGAGGGGACATAGACGTGGTTTCAATCGAATGATGATGCTAATTCATGAACTGTAATGCGCAAAGTAAGGGTGGACGAGAGCGCGTTTTGCTGATGTCGACGTCGTCAGATGAGTAAGGTAAAACGGACTCATAGTACTTACCTGAGATACGCTTCGCGGTATCATATGTGAGGGTTCGCTGTGTCAGGAATGGTGAGGACAGCACAAAGAAGCGGGACATACAACTTACGATCAAAAGATCGAGGCCAGCGTCATCTAGGTTGGGTACAATGCTATGCAGGTCTTGCTTCGACCATTGAGGGAACGTTTCCTTGTAATCAGGCAACTGGCTGACGCCAGGCCAGCTCTGCTCGCTCGGCGTTCCGAGGATTCTGCAGGCGGAGAGGAGGGGTGTGTAATGAGTCAATGTATCGCCCGGGGAGAAACTATGTGGGTTCATACCTAAAGATCTTGAAGATCTGGTCGATCTCCGAGTCTCCCGGGAAGAGTGGGTTGCCCCTCATCACCATCTCCGCAAAGATGCAGCCAACGGACCACATGTCGATCGCAGTAGAGTAGTGGCGGGAGCCGAGCAAGACTTCGGGTGCGCGGTACCACAGCGTGACGACCTAAACGCAAAAGAGGTTTAATGTAAGAGTGGCAAATTGAAAAAGCGCGCCGCGTCATACTTCGTGCGTGTAAGTCCTCATGGGGATACCGAACGCCCTAGCGAGCCCAAAGTCGGCGAGCTTGAGGTTGTTGCGTTTGTCGATGAGCAAGTTTTGTGGCTTGAGATCGCGATGAAGGATACGATGGGAGTGACAATAAAGAAGACCAGAGGTGAGCTGATGAGTAAATTTCTGGAAAGGGACATCGTCAGCAACGGGTCACTCATAATGACATTACTACGCAAGGGAGGTAGCACGCGACCGAAGACGCGTCTGTATAAAGTGGCAGGGCCAGAGATGGTGCATCACGTGACCAACCCTAGTATCCCCCTATTGTCACAATCGATGTGACGAAATCAAGGTGAATGTGATGCGTGCGACCAAGACCATATGGTATGAGATAGCCCAAATCGCGATCAAAATACACAGCCAAAGGCAGAAACGAAAACGCCGTTGAATACTTGACTGCGGTGCCAACCCGCCCATCAAAAGACGCGTCCGAGTGGGAAAACACGCGTCGCACATGCGCAAAATGACGCGATGATAATTGATTGATGGGTGCAGGCGCAAGATATCAGATAACACCTCGGCCAACTTACCTTGACGATGTCCATAGTGATGGGCGTACTGCTGCTGTTGGCGTGCTCCATGTACCGCTTCAGGTCTACGTCGAGAAATTCGAAGACGAGGTACAGTTTTTGATCCGCGTGCACGATATCGAGAAGCCTAGCGTACAGTACATGTACGTGAGAAAGAAACGCAGTCAATCCCAATCAGTCGATCAATATGCCGAAAGTCGTGGCCTGCTGCGTACCTGACGATGTTGTCGTCCTTGAGCTCCTTCAGGAGGCTGATTTCCCGGATGGCGGTGCTGGGGACGCCTTCGTCCTCTGCCTCGAGGCGGATCTTTTTGAGGGCAACGATTTGGTTCGTCGAGACGTCTCGCGCTTTATAGACGACACCATAGGTTCCTGTAGGCGGTGAATGTGCGCCCACGGCGAAGGGAGGCACAGCATATTCATCATTAGGCAGACAAGTGACGAAGACGAGGACACGCACCTTCCCCTAGATGACACGCCACCGGGGTTCAAATTGGTCTGGACTGCGCAGTGAAGGGTGGCACGCACCAACTTTCTCAATCTTTGCGTAGCTGATCGCGAGAGAGGGTGGCCATGAGCCACATCAAGCGAGGCAAGACACGGCTGCGTACCGATCCATGTGGTGGAGTCAAGCTGTTGTCAACGAAGTGATGAGTCTTTTGGTATGTCCACTGATGCGTTCCTTGAGCGAGAGGAGGGAATTACAGGCGGCTCTTATGAATGGGCGAGAGAAAGAAAGGGTATCTGGCAAGGCAGCTCGCTAACACCGTCGGATATGTAACCTGGCTGACGGGAGCCGTAATCAGTGATGATATACTGGAACGCTCCAGCGTCGAGCGCTCTTTCTTTATAAACGGACATGCCTCACCGATAGAGTGACAGGAAACTTACACGCTAAGGATAAGATGGCAACGAATGGAGAGAGAAAGAGATGCACCTCAGGGATGTATAGATGGCAGACAGGACCTCGGCAAAAAGCGACACTGCCACCGACGCGTCGGTGTGATCTCCCGGTTCTCGTCTTTATGCTTACGAACCTTGTGAAGGGTAGCTACATACACACCAGCCGCAGTTCATACATTCGGGCAGCTGAGCCTGGAGATGCTATTGAATCCTCAGTGCCTCGCCCCCGAGTACGTGCCCCAACGTGTACCCCACGACTCAGATAACATATGGGCGCACCGCTCATTGACGGAAAGGGAATGTCCAAAGGAGCGCTCGATCTCGGACCGGATATTTCGACGTGGAGAAACAAAGATCAGCAAGCTTCATGCAAGCTGTCTGCCAGGTGGTTGTCAAGGCCATACATACATCACAATAGACATCTACCCCGTTCCCATGATGCAACCGAATGGAAGCCCTGGCACCCACAAGTGACCCTTTAATAGTTTTACCAGTGAGTGGTGGGGATACACGTGATTTCACAGCATCCTCGGGGAAGAGTTGTTGATCCCTAGTCGTCTCACATATTATAGTATAGATCTGGCGGTAGAGACGATGAGATTCCGCTGGTACGTGAGGTGCGGGAATGCTGCGCACACATTTGGTACTAGGCCTTGGGGTTCCAAGTTCAGCTTGGCCTGGGCCAGTTTATCTGCTCGTCTCCTTGCCGCCGCATCCGCGTAACGTCGATGTATTGACCTGGCCAAGACTCTTCGCCTAAGTAGAAGTAATGCGTTAGAAGCTCCTCAGGCACGGAGGGGAAGGAGGCACAAAGCAAGCGCTGGTGACATGCTTACTTCTATCAATGAGGTTGACCTCGAGATCGTCGTCGTCGTCGCCATCATTATTTTCTTCATCTGATTCCCATCGATCATTCAATGCTCCCTCGGGATTCTTGGCGCGATCCACCGCAAGATCTTTCATCAGGCGATTCATGGAATCGTCTTTCACATCCTGAAGGGACTTTTCGCGTGCCGTGCGGGCGCGCTCAAGCTCCGGAAGGTATTCTCTGGGTAATTATCACGAGAACGCGGTCAGCCTTCTTAGAATCCCGCGGAAGAGATATACAAGCCCACTTTTCATACGTCTCTCGCGACTCCTCAACTGCATCAAAAAATTCTTTAATTCCATTGCCAGTCATACTTGAGACACCGACGGCCTGGCAAGAGGCTGCGATAAGCGTACGCAGGAAGAATCAGTCGGAGAAAGGGTGACCTTCAGGTGCTTGTAGAACTCGTCGAGGACCAGGCTCATGCTATTCATAAGGCTATTCATGTATGTAGGTTCGCCTTCCGAGTCCCTCGACCCGGAATGCGATGCGAGGGCGGCTTGGAACGCTTCAAAATCTTGCATCCACTCAAGCGCAAAATTATGTGGCTGCACATCAGTTTTATTAAAGACGAGAATAAACGGCAGTTTTGTTTTGTACAGAATGCTGCCATGCGCAAGTATTAGAGAAAGCACCGCACGGTTGTGACAAAGAAGGATGCGCACCTGCACGCGTACAGCATGTTTGACATGAACGTGGCTGGCGCAGATGTTCTTGGTGTGTCAATTATGTAGGCCACTACAGTGGGGAATGAAGATGCGATAGCATCTGTGATGATAGCACCCGATGCCGACCAGGTAAAGATTTCGATCTGCCCTGGCGTATCGAGGATGATATGACTGTCACCCGGGTTCCGGGGTAAGCTCGAAAACATTATCATTGAAATTGGAACTTACTCCACCGTGTCAGCCCGCTTCTCGACCAGCTCGAGGACCTGATCAAACTTGGTCGTGAACAGATTAAGAGCGGTGAGGATGCCGCCGTTCGGACCCAGGTTGTACCTTTTGCGCAGGAATCGATTATTCGTGCATTAGGAGGCCAAGAGTAACAGCAACACACTGCTTCATGACCTCTCTGTAGTTGACTGTATCTCTTATGTCGATGTTGGCTTCGAAAGGAACACTGCTGACCGCGGGGTCCAGATTGAGTATGTACGGAGGCTGCGGGGGATCTTGGGAGTGGAGGTAGGAGTTGATGCGCTGGACAAAGGTAGATTTTCCAGCTCCAGCCATCCCGATAGTAATGATAACACTCGGTTTCTTCTTGCTGCCTCTGGCATCGGGACCAGAACTGGAGGACGCGCTCATAGTTGTAGGAAGAAGAAGACGAGTCCACTCGAAGCGGTCAAAGGTACTTTGAATTGAAAATATCGTGGCTATCGTCATCTATTTAGTGTCCTTTGGCCCATCGTCAGGCACCGCATTGATGGTGTAGCGGTAACATGCGGTCTTCCCATAGAGTTGGTGTTTGGCCGCGCTCCGAGTTCGACTCTCGGTCAATGCAGATCAACTTTTTTTTCTCTTTGTTGTCCGCCCGAACTCTACTTTGACCACCGCGCATCACTACATCCCATCGACCGCCCGATACGTATTATTATCGCACCCAAAATCCCCGCTCGAGCGACATCAATCAGGAATGGATTGACGAGGCTTATAGCGCGCCTAGTGACGACCTACATAGTGGTCCCTAGCCGTGTCCTCATCATACGTCCAACGACCGACAGGCAGGTATGTATAAATTGTAAGTTGAGGTGAGTAGACCCAGTCACTATTCTCAGCTCGGGTCTGATGTTTCCAGGCTCTACAAAACTTAGAACAAGGGCATTCGGACTTTGTGCCTTGAAACATCTTCTCCTCTTCGACTTGGAAGAGCTCGCCGACTCATCAGCCTTGTGCATCCGCTGATCATATTTTAGGGATTGATTCGCCCGATCCCGAGGCCGCAGAGAGCTGCGGTCGTAGGGTGGCGGGATTATGTCGTGCCGGTCAGTAGAGTTAGAGTCAATGAGAAATTGGCAACGAGGCATGGTTCTACAATGGCTGGATTAGAACGCTGGAGTCTCGAGTATAGAACAGCTAGAAAAGATGCACTTTGTGGTGGGTATCGTGTTAGATGTGAAGGGTATCAGTTTTGACCTGAGAGGCCGTCGGAACACCTTTTGACCAGAACCTGAGGCCGATGACATCAATCGGACGTCGCGCTGCGTGGAAAAGGATGGAAATGGCATGTATGTGTGGGCTCATGACATGCCGTTGGATCGAAAACTAATAGAAATAGTGTGTCGGGTCAGATGTGGTGCAGTGTTGGCTGTGGTGTAACGGTGAAAATATTGACAAAGGATATGATATCGAGTAATGAGATACATACTTCTGCCGGAACTCGGGAACATCATGACCATGGAAGGTCTAACATGACCACCGGAACACGTCCTTCTGCAACCGCCGACCGATAGCGACCGATGGCCACCTATCCAGCAGTCGATGTGGGTGGTATGTCCCAAATAATTCAATGTTCTGATATAAAAACAAAGTAACAAAAGATATATTCGGATGCCGGGAGTCGAACCCGGGGCCGCTGTGCCGCTTGGTAGTCAGATTACGACTATCTTGAAAGACAGCAATGTTAACCGTTACACCACACCCGATATGTTTTCTTGGATTTTAATGCCAATATGATGGCCGTCGCCGTGGACTCATTCCGAGACACTTTCCCAAAGTGGCTTGCAATGTGAAATTCTGAATGAACTGAGAAGTGAGAAACATGGGAGGGTTGGAATCACTGACGGAGCCATGTAAAGGTGATTCTTCTGTGTCTCGCGGCGAATGATGGCTGTGAGCGTGTCACATCATTAAGACGGCCGCCCTTCGCAAGACAAGCTCGGCAGTCGCACGTGAAAGGATAGTGGTTTCGCATTGAATTAACCACCGACATTACGACCCTCCAACAAGTATCCGCCTTGAGGTTTGCCGTAGAGGACCAGCCACGTTAGAAGGTGAATCTTGTCTCTCCGTACAGATTCTATATATTGCGTCAATGGCACTTCAGCCGTGAACGCTGAAACAGCATATTTTCCGAGCAGTGACTATCACCGAGATCATCCATCGGCCTATCGGGATACAAAGCAATCAGGCGGCTATCCCCTTTCATGTAGATATATGTTCGGCAGAGCGAAATACAAGCTACACACAGTGCCGAGGCACTTAGGAGTGCTCAGAGCAACCTCGAATTGTAAACTTGTGACTGGCAACAATGAAAAGACCTCCACCCTACTATGTTGCTGAGACACATCACATACATTTTTTTCACTGAATACATCGTTGACGTATGAACTGTACACTGCCGACGCATCAAAATCATTTCCTGTTTTCCCTGATAGTCAAGTACGACCCAATATACCCGTGCTCTTATGTGCTCAGTCGGTGATACGGGTGAATTGCCAGACGCTGGAGCCGTCATCGGTGAGCTTGACCTAGCGTCGCACCAAGGCCGGTAAGATTTCCAGTATCCAACTGAAAAAAAGAACAATAACATACGTTGGTGGCAGAGCTGCCGCTGAAGCCCCAGTAGAGGGAGTCGTCGTCATCGGGAGAAATGCTAGGGATGAAATCAGCATCACCGTCGGGGGACATCATGACCACGCTTACAGGTACTGGCTCTTGGTGTTGGTCTCCTTGATCTGCCACTGGTAAGCAGAGCTCCTGGCCTTCACATCGTCGCCCTTCTTGGGAGAGGCGCTGACGGAGGCATAGTTGGCGTAGACGTAGCCCAGAATGTTGTATTTACCGTTGCTGAGCTTGTTGACGGTGAACTACAAGCATGGTTGTCAAAGACAATACCCCTCGGCACGTATACTGACGCGGACTGACCTTAACAGTGTCGTCGCCACTATCGGTGCTCTGGGTGAGGGAAGAGCCGTTGTTGCCATCGGCCAACGTGGCGAAGCCAGTGGTGGCAATGTTGGAGATGGTGTAGGTACCGGTCTGGATGGTGCCGTGAGCGACTGTGCCGGACATTGTTGCTTGTGAGTTGAGAGATAAACGATAAGATAGAAGAGCTGGGTTTGCTGGAGAGACGAAGTTCAGTTGATACGGCTTTTATACCTTCGAGCAGGCCGCCTTCGGGTCAATCCGTCAACGACTTGGGGGTGCACGGGCAGTGGGCTGTGGCGAAGTGTGTCATACTGCCTTACACGGCTGTTCACCGCTTGCAACAACGACACGACATGTTGGCCAATTGTTTGCGAAGTTCTCCAAAAAACCCCGGTGTTCGCAAGAATTCGACACCCAAATGCGAAAGCACGCATTAGTACTGACGTCGACATGCACAATGGAAGGTAAGGCACTGATGTCCACGTGCTGAGGATGGGGCGATCGACATGCTGAATGGAAGTTTGCCTTCATATCCACCGCTACGGCTCGAAGCCTACTCCGGCGAAGTGTTTGCCATCGTGGAGGCTGACGCTAAACGAAGGGCAAAGCACCAGTGCACCAGTCGTTCCTGAAAGTTACGGGAAGTGACCTTCGCATGGAGCTTCACCGCATCTTTGCGCTCTATTAGCTCATTGCTTACCCGTTGGAATGGCGCCAAGGCGAGACGTTATGGTTTCGCCATAATTATTCGAGAGAACGACAGTAGAAGCGCGGATGGCAAGATGTGCAGCAGGTGAACACAGGTACGTCGTCCAATATAGTTTGGCGCCCCAATGTTGAGCCAACGGCGATCGTCGATCTCCGGTATTGCGGTGTCCAGAGATTTGAACCCAGGTTATAGAACAACATATCGAAAGTCCCAGTGCAGGGCGCTTGAGCCTAAAAGTCGATGGTACCTGTCAACTTAAGAGGTTTGTGCGGATTTTAAGCCTGGGTGATGTTCACATCAGACAATGACAAGCGCGGTCTACTTGCACGAAAAAAGGGCGGTGAAAATCGTTCGTTAAAGAAAAAATGATCCGGAATGCTGGATAATGACTCGCCATTTTTAGCTCATTCATACGACGTTGGAAGTGTTCCATGAGGAGTCAAAGGTCGCGGGAACAATGCTAGGTGTGGTCAATGATAGGCGCCCCGTCCGTGGCTCTCGGCTTCCACAAGGTCAAACGAGAGAAGTTGTCAGCAATGATTCTTGATGATTCGAGCAAGTTGGTTCTGATCGGTGCATTCCAGTCTTCCTATAACCACAGGATCGGTTTGCGGTGGTGGTGATGATGCGTGGAATTAACTGGAGTTGAAGCCAGGTGAACTTGATTTCGACGAAAATATTCGTCGAAGGAGCTGAAAATGCTGTGATGATCGACGATCTTGAATCAAATTCAATCTCCGCGACTCAGCACTCAAGGTCAAAAACTGTTGCGACAGGGAAGGCTGAAGTGGATTGTCATATAGCCTGGGGTCTTAGTCTCAGAACGCGTGCAGGCAAATGAAAAAGCAGCGGAGAACAAAGTACACTTGGGGGCAAAGAGTGCCTAGCTTTCCCATCCCTATTGTCGACTGTAAATCTTGCAGGAGGTGAGTCAAAATATTTATTCGGCGGTTCAAATATTGTCGCGGTCTGTCGTGCCAGCCTGGACGAATCGTATTCTGAACCAGCCTTCACAAGCCTTCCCATCACGATTTTCCTCATGCAATCATGCGTAGGGTCTTCCGATTTCGGGCGGGTGGGCGCCTACTCAGATGATCAGATACAAAACATACCCGATGTCGTGCTTATCGCAAATCAGTTCCTGTAAAGACATACTACTTATACGGAGGTATTCTCTGAGTGGGCTGTTATGAGGGGAGGAATGTTCTCATGCGATAACTCGAGTCCATCGGCTTCAACAGACCGTGACTAAGTTGAAGTGCCATTGACCTTTCCCGTAGACCGAATCAGTCAAAGTGACCTAGGAATGAATATTAGGAAAAGGGTGGCTTCAGGTCGCAGAATCGACAGACATTTATACCATCGGTTTCGCACGAGAAGCCCCACCAGAGGGAGAGGTCATCCCCCGGGAAAATGCTCAACTCAGATGTAAGTCACGAGGCACAACAGCGGACAGACCTTAGAGGGCGGCACTCACAAGTAGTTATTCTCCGTTTTCGCTTCTCTGATCTCCCATTGGAAGGAATCAAACTTGACTTTCACCGCGTCCCCTTTCCTAGGGGCTGGACAGGCAAATGGCCAACAAGCGATCCATTTGTAGCTCTGAATCGTGTATTTACCATTGCTCAGCTTCACGACGTTCCACTGCGGAAGTGTATGTTATAGTAAGCTTTGTATCATTCGAAAACAAACACATCAACAGACTTTAGCATTGTCATCGTCCTTATCGTTGCCCTCAAATAGAGGTGATCCTTTGTTGTCATTTGCAAGAGTCACGTATTTCGTGGTGGCAACATTGCTGATAGTGTAGGTACCGGTTTGGAGAATGCCATGCACACCCATGATGTCGTTTTCGCGGGAGGAGTAATGTAGAGAACGGCTGATATAGACCTATCACTGATGAGTGAGAGGCTCATCTGATAACGACCCTGTTGATGACAAAAAAAAACCGAAGCGGGGGTGTTCATACGTCTATTTCAGATCAAGGGTAGAAATCGGCCGAGTACTGTGCCTCACACACCACACTCTTGAAGGCAACAACTCACCTTCATCAGCGCGTTCGTAGAACACGTGTAATCAGATTTGAAAGGCTTGGCGAGCAGCCTTTAAGAGGCGCTCACCACAAGAGCCAGCCAAACGATTGACATTCGTCGTCGACACGTGTTAGCCAGGTCACAACATAATGAGATATTCAAGCGTGGGCCTGCTTAACGCTTGATGAGCATTATAAGCTGGATCTAAATATTTTGATATGAGGCGATTCTTCCGATATGCTCCAGTGTGCTCACCACCAATCTGTTTAGCCCGTTTGACTGACCCTCGAACACTTCGATACATAGCAATTCCGAAACCGTGATTTCTTGAAGGACCATGCCAACGGTGGGCCTTAACGTGGGTAGCGATGCCATTATGCCGGGAACACGACTGCGGTGGGCAACTTTATCGATCCGGGACACGTCTATCTCCGGTCACAGATTCACCAGCGACTATGTGTCCTCCCCAAGGACAATGCCCCAACTGGGAAAACGCCAAAGGGATTTTCCGCGCCAAGTCACCAGACCCAGATGAAATGAGGCACTCATTGAGGAGCCGATGGTTTACAACCCCGTGATCATCTATGCTGGTAAGGTGAAAACAGTACTGGGGAGAGGCCACATACTGATTGGCGGAGTTCGAAAGCACACTAACACGAACCAATCGAAAAACCATGGTTGGCGACTTACATTAAGTAGCCAAGCCACGCTCTCGACGCAATATAACAGGAATCGAAGGAGCCTGTCGTCGAGGTTGCGCGTTCCCAGCATCTGGACCTCTTCAACATGGTTCATGCGGGGGACTCTGAATCGGAAGCAGTTTTCAGACTCGTTTTTCCACCGAATCAGCTCCAGGAGCGAACGTTCATGTTTTTTGCCAGTAATCCATACATAAGTATTTTGGCTCCCCCTTCCCGATATGGCCCCTTGCATCGCGTCGAAGCGTCTTTTCGCTATATGGCCTCACCATGCTTCTCGTAATCTCGTACATTCTCACTGATTGGGGGCCAGCTCCCACAATCACTTTTCATTT